CGCAGCAAAGCAGCCCCAATCCATGATGCCCCACCACCATACTTCACAGTTGGGATGAGGTTTTGATGTTGGTGTGCTGTGCCTTTTTTTCACCACACATTGTACTTAAAAAAGTACTTAACTGTGATGCAAAAATAGGTGCAGCTTTCCAAGAGGTTTCCCCCAAACGAACCTCAAATACAGATATGCCTATGAACAAGAATGGAATACAGCTGAATAATAAAAAAAAAAAATAGCACATAGTGAAGTACAATTTTAGCAATTAAATATGACCCCCAATGGTTGCACTCACGAGATGATGAAGAATAATGTGCCTTTAAGCCCACAATGGGTCTGGAGAGGTGTTCACCTTCCACAATTAGGGACTTCTGTCTTCAAATGAAGTGGAAATACAGCAGTTGGAGTAAAAATATATTTATTAAGGCAATACAAAGCCTTTGTTTAAAATAGAATATAAATGAATAAAATGTAACTGCAATCTAATGCGTTTCGTCCACATATAGTGGACTTCCTCAGAGATAATAATACAGTTAAGCAGTAATACAATACAAAAATATCAAAGTATGCATATTTCCCACCCCCAACAGAGTCCCTTTAAATAGAGCCAGTTCATGTGTTGATTGAAGACAGTTTATGTGGAAATGCCCGGGAAACCTTCTCCCTATTTAATTAGGGTATATTCAAATCAGCTGGTTGTAGATTTTAATGGACCGCCGGTCCATTTGCGTTCCATCTATGCGTTCCACATGCATATTTCCGGTTCCGGGTATAAACGGAAGTCATGGGCGCTAAAAATAGCATTCCATGGCTTCAAATATGCGTTCCAAATAGTCAATATGGCTTACAACTTGATGAACTAAAAAGAAACTCAAAATAGCATAATAAACATCTTTATGCCATATATAACATTCGGACATATATCAAATTATAATAATAATGAGGGAATCCAATCCCCTGTGAAGCATGATCCAATTATCAAACATAAAAATATATAATAATAAAAAATATATATATAATAAATAATATATATATAATTATGAAAAAAATATATATTTATGGGAAAAAAAATATATATATATATATATAATTTAATAATAGATCATCTTGACAAAAGATTGGAAATCCCCCTCTAAAACAATACATATATTTATAAATAATTGTTCCCTTTTCCTCTCTTTTCCTACTTTTATTTTTCTACCATAAAGCTAGCCAAATCAATATCTATATTTAGTCCCTTCGGTTCTAAGGTATCCAATTTATAAATCCAATATGTTTCGCGTTGTGCTAATTTTAATTCCCTATTGCCTCCTCTCCAATGGGAGGATACATGTTCTATACCACAGCCCATAAAATCTCTCCAATTAAAGGCCGGACATGTATTACAGTGTACTGGCACTGAATGGGTTGTGATACCTTTCCTTATAATATTAACATGCTCCATTAAACATACTTTTAAAAGTCTTTTTGTCCTTCCCACATATTGTTTGCCACACGGACACTGCAATAAATAAATTACAAAGTCCGTGTGGCATCCAATATTAGATTTCACCGGGAAGGTCACTCCAGTAGTATGACTAATAAACTGGAGAACTGAACCCAAGTTCATTCTTGAGCAAGCACAGCACATTTGGCATCCCTTAAACCCTTTAAAGGTGTTATGTGTGATAACCTTCTTTTTAGGGATACCTTTTCTAGGATAGCTCGGAGCCACCAAATCTTTCAAATTCTGCCCTTTCTTATAAATAATAGATGGTCGGTAAGGTAAAATACTTCCAACAATGATAGAAGGTCACCAAAAAGAAATTAAGATAGAAGTGACACCACTGGTAGGAGATCCTATGCAGATGTAACAAGGGAAAAAATTAATCACAGAGAAAGAACTCCTCCCTCAACCAGTAATGATTATTTTTTAGAAAGAGGTCATATACAAAAAGACCAACGGATAACAGATTATTTTCTACCATGAAAAACCACTTGGGCACACCCAAATCGTTAGTCTCCCATTCAAACACAGACTCCCTCCAAAAGAAGGAGAATGGAGGAGGAACCTCCAAATTCATTCAGAAGGGAGAGATCTTCCCATTAGAGGAACGAAGTTTGGGTATATTCAATTTATCTCCGACACCACTGACTAAATTGGAAATACAGGTATTAGAACGGGGTTTGAAGTTTACTCCCGCACAAAGAGCAGATGATTTTGCTCTATTTATAGATTTAAAGAAATGTATAAGAACATTAACAGTTAAACGACATTTTACAAAGAATTCCATTCCATCATTAATGACCAATTACCCTACTAATCCTAGAATAGATCAAAGTCAGGATAATGGTTTTGATAAGTTTAAGCCTAAATCTAAATTTTACCCGGTTCAAAGCAGGGGTTCGTATCTTGAAACTTTTAAAAAAAAATTAACAATAATTCACAAAAAAGTTATAACATGACAAGGGAAGAATCTGTGTCTAAAATTTTTTATAAAAAGGGAGAATATAGTTGTAAGGGAAGCCGATAAAGGGGGGGGGGAATTGTTATTCTCTCTGCAGAATATTACCATCGAGAATCTGTCAACATTTTGGGCCAAACGGAGACATATGTTGAACTTCCCAACGATCCTACTGGAACATTCAATTCCTTGTTAAAAAGTCTGTTATTAAGAGCTTTAGAAAACAATATAACATCTAAAAAAAAAAATCAATTTTTGTTTAATAAATATCCTGTAATTCCTATCTTTTATTTTTTACCAAAACTCCACAAAAATCATTTTTTTCCACCTGGACGCCCAATTATTAGTGGCATTAATTCCATCACAGCAAACCTCTCAGCCTTCATTGATGCAAGGCTTCAAAAATATGCTCAAGGTGCTCCTTCATATATTAAGGATACCACTGCCATTCTACAAGAGTTTGAAAGTATTGAATGGAAAGATGAATATAGTTGGGCAACATTAGATGTAACATCATTGTACACTGTTATACATCATAAACTGGGCATTGAAGCAGTAAACTTTTTTGTCAACCAAGACCCAGAAGTTGATGATTCCCTTCAAAGGTTTATTTTAGTGGCAATTAAATTTATACTTGAGCATAATTATTTTTTTCACGAGGGTAAATTTTACCTCCAAAGGACGGGAACAACCATGGGGACCAGGTTCGCCCCCAGTTATGCCAACATTTACATGCGCAGATGGGAGGACCTCTTTGTGTGGTGCGGGCATGACTGGGGAGCGAGCCTGGTCCTATGGCGAAGGTTTATTGACAACGTGATCGTTATCCTTTGTACAATATTTGAATTCCAACCCTTTTAATTTGAAGTTTACACCAGAATGGCATAAAGATACCATTAATTTTTTGGATCTAAGTCTATTTCGGGAGGAGAATAAGATCAGATCTAGATGTTTTTTTTTAAAAACTGATGGTAACAGCTATGTCCATAGGACAAGTTGTCATCATCAACTGTGGCTGAGGGGTATAGCCAAAAGCCAAATAACAAGAGTTCGTAGGAATTGTTCGAATATTCAAGATTTCGAGATCCAGGCAGAACACATAAAAAATTAATTGGTAAATAAAGGGTATAATAAGAACACGATTGAAAAGGAAATTAGATTAGTGAAGAAAAAAGATAGAAGAGATTTATTAACTAAAAATTTAAGAAGTGAATCAAACAAACAATTTAAATATTCATTTGTAATGAAATACAATAGTGATCATTGGAAAATTAATAGGTGTCTTAAAAAACATTGGCCTATATTACTCCAAGATCCAGTTCCATGTCCGGCCTTTAATTGGAGAGATTTTATGGGCTGTGGTATAGAACATGTATCCTCCCATTGGAGAGGAGGCAATAGGGAATTAAAATTAGCACAACGCAAAACATATTGGATTTATAAATTGGATACCTTAGAACCGAAGGGACTAAATATAGATATTGATTTGGCTAGCTTTATGGTAGAAAAATAAAAGTAGGAAAAGAGAGGAAAAGGGAACAATTATTTATAAATATATGTATTGTTTTATAGGGGGATTTCCAATCTTTTGTCAAGATGATCTATTATTAAACTATATATATATATATATATATTTTTTTTTTTTCATAAATATATATTTTTTTCATAATTATATACATATTATTTATTATATATATTTTTTTATTATTATATATTTTAATATTTGATAATTGGATCATGCTACACAGGGGATTGGATTCCCTCATTATTATTATAATTTGATATATGTCTGAATGTTTTTTTTTTTTTTGTAAATCTGTTTTATTGAAATAAGACAAGGGGAAAGTGAGGCACGCAGGCCTCCATGCAAATAATGATAATGAAATATAACATGTGACAGGAGCCATTTGGGTACAATTCTTAAACCATACGTTTTTAGTTACAGTGAATAAGGTAGTTTAAGTACATAAACAGACTGTATGTTGTGTGTCGAGGTATGCTTAAGTATCTAGGGAACACCTTTCCGTACCCTTCCTTCACGTGTACGGGGCGGGTATGAGCTATAGGTCAGCTTTGGTAATTGGTATTTGTCCCCTCTCGTAATTGTTATAAGTTACCCTCGGAACCTCCCAGTGTAATGTCTCAGTCTGTGGTAGTCAGCGTTACCATGAGTGTCTATCGCTGCCTTATTGGTAGTGATGGGTAATGTGTTGTTCTAGGGGGTCGGGTATAAGGGGGTGGGTAGGGTAGGAGGGGAGAGGGGGGAGGGGGGGGTAGGGATGAGGGGGTTACCTCCCTCCCGCTTCGGCATCTGCTGTGAGCGAGTATCATAAGTGTCAATGATGTGCTATTTTGCTTGTTGTTGGGGGTTGAAAGCGCCGGTGTCTTCCAAGTTCGTTTCTCGTAGTCTGTGTGTATTCCCTGCCTTTCATGGGTAATCTAGTGTTGAAGGAGTGTTCCCTCTGTGTGGGTGGGGAGTCGCGCCACGATCCCTTATGTTGTGCCCGTTAGTCGTTGCGTAATGTGTTTGGGCGATGTTTGCATTGTCCCTGTCCTTTGTTAGTGCCGTCCATCTTGCAGTGGGGCATGTCCACTAGGCGCCAGTCGCTGTTTGAGGTGTTTGCGTGCGATGTCTGTGGCTTTGAGTGATGTGTCAGTGTGCGTGTAGTGATGGCGTTCATTATGATTGCCTGCCTTGACGTTCAGGCTATCGTGTGTGTGAAGGTGTGCAGGGTGTATTGAGTATGCCGTTATCAGGTGGTAGATGTCTTTACATGAGCTGTGTGTATTTGGGGTGCGTCTCGCCTGGGGGTGAGCAGCGGAACGAGATCCGGCCGCGAACGGTCGTGGCTCTTCTTCCCCCTCCACCGCCCCCCGGAGGCGCCGGAGTAATCCGTCTACTGTTTGTTCGCTTACTGTCTGTTCGCTTGGTACACGAACCATGGTCCCCAGATCTCCGCGTGCCTGGTTGAGCGCCCCGTGAGGGAAGCTTGGAGTGCCTCTGCCGATTGTATGTCCCCTACCCTGTGGAGCCATTCCGTGTGCGTCGGGGACTCGGTTTTTTTCCAGTATGCGGGTATAAGGGATTTTGCCGCGTTCAGCAAGTGGCGTAGAATAGACTTTTTGTATCTGGAGATGGAGCTTGAGGTCATGTGTAGCAGGGCTAGTTCCATCGACCATTCCACATCTTCACCAAGTATTGATTTAGTATGTCTGAATGTTATATATGGCATAAAGATGTTTATTATGCTATTTTGAGTTTCTTTTTAGTTCATCAAGTTGTAAGCCATATTGGCTATTTGGAACGCATATTTGAAGCCATGGAACGCTATTTTTAGCGCCCATGACTTCCGTTTATACCCGGAACCGGAAATATGCATGTGGAACGCAACCGGAAGTACCTCGTGGAACGCATAGATGGAACGCAAATGGACTGGCGGTCACATAATTATGCCGCAATTTTTTAAAATCTACAACCAGCTGATTTGAATATACTCTAATTAAATAGGGAGAAGGTTTCCCAGGCATTTCCACATGAACTGTCTTCAATCAACACATGAACTGGCTCTATTTAAAGGGACTCTGTTGGGGGTGGGAAATATGCATACTTTGATATTTTTGTTTTATATTACTGCTTAACTATATTATTATCTCTGAGGAAGTCCACTATATGTGGATGAAACGCATTAGATTGCAGTTACATTTTATTCATTTATATTCTATTTTAAACTAAGGCTTTGTATTGCCTTAATAAATATATTTTTACTCCAACTGCTGTAATTCCACTGACAGAAGTCCCTATTTGTGGAAGGTGAACACCTCTCCAGACCTATTGTGGGCTTAAAGGCGCATTATTCTTCATCATCTCGTGAGTGCAACCATTGGGGGTCATATTTAATTGCTAAAATTGTACTTCACTATGTGCTATGTATTTTTTAGTTATTCAGCTGTATTCCATTCTTGTTCATACGCATATCTGTGATTATCTATTGTTGTAACTTAGATGATGATCAGATCACTTTTTATGACCAATTTGTGCAGAAATCCATATCATTCCAAAGGGTTCACATACTTTTCTTGCAACTGTCCATACTAGGTTCATCTCCATACACAAACACACTACATCACCCTATACACACATACACTCCAGCCCCATACCGACTTCCCTTCACACACAAAATTCAGCCACCACAGACACAGGCACACTCAGCCTACCCCCATATACAGCTCTCATTCATTTCAACACAATAACAACACTCAGCCACTGCACACTCTCAACACTCCATCTGCCGCATATAGGTACAACACTCAGCTGCCACCACTCACAGAACAGAGCTTCAGGCTCTAGGAGAGATCTTGAATCTGACATCCTGCCTTTGGCCTTGTGCAATCTTAATCTGGCTCTGCTTACAATAACTATCCAGCTGCCAAGCTCAGTACCTTCTGACACTGGCAGTGTAGCGAAACAGCAGTATAAACAGTGGTGTATCCTGGTTTTGTGCTGCCCTAGGCAGGACAAAACTCAGGCGCCCCCCTCCCCCCCGCGCCACCCCCACCCAACCCTTCCCCCCGCCCCACCTTCTAAATACACACACACACAGTCAGACACAAACACACGCACACACAGTCAGACACACAGTCAGACACAAACACACACAGTCAGACACATACACACACAGTCAGACACATACACAAACACACACACAGTCAGATACATACACAGACACAAACAGTCAGACACAAACACACACAGTCAGACACACACAGTCAGACACACACAGTCAGACACAAACACACACACACACACAGTCACATACACACAGTCAGACACATACACAAACAAAAACACAGTCAGACACAAACACACACACACAGTGAGACACATACACAGACAAATACACACACACTCACAAACACACACACAGTCAGACACAAACACACACACATTAACTTTTTTTTAAATTTAAATCCCCCCCCAACCTCCTTACCTTTGGGAGTGCTGGGGGGGGGCGGTCTCTCTCCCTGGTGGTCCAGTGGCTGCAGGGCGGGCAGCGCTGGGCAGGCGGCTGGCGAGGGAGCTCTTCCCCTGAGCACTCTGCTCAGCTCCCTCGCCCGTCGGCTGCAGAGTGAGGCTGGGAGCCGGAATATGACGTCATCTTCCGGCTCCCAGCCTCACTTTGCGGTGCGCGAGGGAGCTGAGCAGAGCGCTCAGGGGAAGAGCTCCCTCGCCAGCCGCCTGCCCAGCGCCGCCCGCCCTGCAGCCACT